TGCTCTCTTCATCCTCTGACATGGGAGCTGGCTCGGAGCTCGTCTGCCTGGCTGTGTGTTTCCTGGACGGGGCCGCCTGTGGAGCTGGTTGACCATGTCCCTCACTAACTCTCTGTGTACCTTCATTTCTTGTCCCTTGTTTTTACTTAATCTGCATATCGTTCGTGAACTTCCTGTCCCCCATTGTGTGTTTTATGAATTTATTGTTTCTTATCCACTTCCTTCCCATTTTAACTTCCTGTCTGTTGATTATTTGCTGTGACTCATTACTTCCTAGTCCCTCATTAACATTTCCATCAGTAACCCCCTGTCCCTCAGCTAGTCCATGTCCCTCCTTTATTCCTTGTCCCTCAATAACTTCCTGTCCTTAAGTCCCCTCTGACCTGCAGTGATTTGATGAATGTCCAGAGTAGGGTACGAATCCCTTCCCCTTTGTTCAGGAGTTTGACCAATCGCATCACTCGGAACAGGCGGAAAAAGGTGATAGACACCCTTGAGCTGTCCTCACCACTCTAAAGAAAGATATAAGTTGATCATATTAAATCGTTGGCATTTAAAATGTAAAGAATTTTATGTAACTGTGGTCTGCAGTACTGACGCTGAACTCTGTGACCACGATGTCCACCACACTGCCGACCACGATCAGAGCATCGAATGAGTTCCAGGCGTCGACGAAGTAGTGCTGGAAGGACGAGGAATAAATGAAATGCTCTGTAGGACGTTCTTGGGATTGTTCCTATGCCTTGGATATCCTACCCGCAGTCTTAGAGCCAGTAGCTTCAGCAGCATCTCTGCAGTGAAAAGTCCAGTGAAGACCATGTTGAGGATGTCCATGACGTAACTGAAGGTCTTGGACTGTTCGTAGTGCTGCAGCAGAGAAACATCTGTCTGGTTTTGGTTTGATCCAACAGAAAGAACCTCTTATTCATCTGAAAGGTACCGACCTGAACAGCCAGCGTGACAGTGTTGAGCAGGATCAGGACAAACATGACGTACTCAAACCCAGTTGAGTTGATGATGGACCAGAACTTGTACTGAACTGGGTTCTTGGGGATGTAGAGTTTCAGCGGCTGAGCCTTCAGGGCGTACTCCACACACTGACGCTAAGGAGGAGAGAAGGACAGGGAACCAGACTGAATGTCCTGCAGTGGGTGGATTGGACTGAGGACAGGACTCCAGATCAAGGATTCTGGAGAACAGAACCTGCTCCAGTAGAAGATACCAAACACGACTGAGCCGAGTGCAGAAACAAAACAGCAAAGATTTATTACATCCAGTCAGTCTGACACACACTAGACCAGGAGGGTCATTCCAGTTCCTGGGGGCCGGTACCCTGCAACTTTTACATCCATCCTTGGTCCAACCTTAAGAAGATTATTAGGGCCAGGAGAGAGATTTATTTTTCTATTTCCAGAATAAAGTCGTAACATTACAAGCATAAATTCATAACATTATCAGAATAAAGTAATAAAACTGAGAATAAAGTCGTAAAATTATCATAATAAAGCCACAAAATTACGAGAATTAAGTTGTGAAATTACGAGTATAAAGTTGTAACTTTATGAGAATAAAGATATAAAATTACTAGAATAAAGTCATCGCAATAAAGTTGTAAAATTACGAGAATAACGTCACAAAATTACGACAATAAAATCGTAACAATAAAGTCGGAACATTTTAAGAATAAAGTCATAAAATTACGAGAGAAAAAATTTAATATTACGAGAATAAACCCATTCAGCTCTGGGTAAATTCCGAGAAGAGAACTAGAATGGTTCTGACCTGGTTCTTGTCCAGCTCACAGTTCTTGTACTCCTGCTCTCCTTGTTCTCTGAAGGTGATGATGACAAAACCTACAAAGATGTTCATCATGAAGAAGGCGATTATAATGATGTAGACGATGAAGAAGATAGAGATCTCCACTCTGTAGTTGTAGATGGGACCAGAGTTCTCTCCGTTGGCATCAATGGCTTTGTAGAGTAGCCTGTGGACCGAGGAGATAAACGTTTAGATGTCAGAGCTCGTTATTGAGGATCGCTGAAGAAGTCTGGGATACCCACGCGGGCCAGCCCTCGAAGGTGGACACGGTGAAGAGCGCCATCATCCCCATCAACACGTTGTCAAAGTTAAAGTCGCTGTTCAGCCAGATGCGCTGGCGGACCATGGGGTGGCTCACGTCGCCATCCTTGTAGACCACGAAGGTCCCCCTGGAGACATTGGAATCAGCAGTGGAACCTGGTTAGATTAGAACTGGACCAGAACCAGTTTAAGGAACTGCTGAGCTCTGACTTTCCTCCACTTACTTGCACTGTTCAGGAGTGCTTTTGGCCTCATCTGTGCAGCGGTAGAATTTACCCTGAAACAAAGCAGAGGAACATATGAAGTGGAGTGAAGGACTGCGTTCCTAGTTTAACCAGCAGAGACACACCTTAAAGAGCTGCACCCCGATGCAGGCGAACATGAACTGCAGCAGTGTGGTGACAATCATGATGTTTCCGATGGTCCTGATGGCCACAAACACACACTGGACCACATGCTGAAAGACAGACACAACCCAAAGACTAGTGAACCAAGGTTCCGTTAATACTCTGGAGTGGTTGGTCATTCATACAAAACCAAACCAAGAACTTCAGACCTTCTTCATCATTTGAGGAAAACCTGAGTTACCTTCAGTCCTTTGGCTCTGTTGATAGCTCTCAGGGGTCGAAGCACCCTGAGGACTCGAAGGATCTTCACCACAGAGATGGCGCTGGAGCTGCAGACACACAGAGAAGAACCACTAATCACCAACTGCTGTGATCTGACAAGATTTAAATCAGTTGAACCTGCTGAAGATGTCATGGAACAGAACAGATGGACCCATTATTCAAGGTCCGTAAGAAAGTTCAAAATGTTTATTACAAAACAAAAACAAACGGACAGAACCGAAGTCGAGGGCTGTGGAACTGCGACTGCAGCGACTGCAGGGCGCAACCCATCACTGACTCTGTAGAGAAAAACACAGGTAAGTGACCACAATCATCTGACAGGAGATGATTATCAGAGTGAGTCACTTACCTGGTTTAACAGTTCAGTCCATTCTCTGGATGGAAGGCAGGATCCATCTGATGGACTGCCCGACGGCATCCAGCTCAGAGCAGTCCAGCGTCTCCCTGATCAATGCAGCAACCACAGAGAGCAGACTGGAGACCGATCCAGGTCAGAACCAGACAATTCTGAGATCCAGAAGTCCTCAGCTCGATGAGGAGTTCCGATCCACAAAGGAACAGACAGGAACGGGGTTCCAGGAATCCGCAGAGCACTCAGGCCAGTTCAAAGCACCAGAGAGTCCAGAAGCATGCCCAGACAGACACGAACAGATGCAGACAGGCAGGCTCAGTGGTTGAGGGACAGAGACAAGAAATGGCACCAGGATTTCTGCAAGACTTTAAACTGGTCTTCTCCTAGGAGCCAGGCTTAGGGGAATAAAACCGCCCCTTCCCACATTCGGAGCCAAAACCCTGAGGGCTCTATGGGGAAAGGCCAGAACAGGATCAAAAGACGAGGCAAACATGAAACCTCTTAACCCACTGGCACCCAGGAACCAGGATACAAACCTTGGAACTAAACTAGAAACAACCAAACAGAACACAAAATGCAAAACAATGATCTGGCCCTGATTGCTCGGGCTGAAACGAATACAAAGCAACAGACGCAAGTGGATGAGATGAGTCATAATTAGAAAACCGCACAGAGTTAGGCAGGTGTGTGAAATTAACAATTAAGATGAGCTATCAGGCCAGATCATGACAGAAGATCCTGGAGTTTCCTCTCTGCCCAGAGCTTCTCGGCTCATGTGGGACCCACATACATACATCCTGATTAGTTGAAGCCTCTAAGATAAGTTTAGAAGATCTTTGGTGTCTTTTTCGTTTGTAGAAGGAACCATTGTCTTCTCTAGAACTGGAGAAGGCCCCCGCATTTCAGACTGAGGGTGCTCTATCAGGTTGACCAGCATCTCCAATGAGCAAACATAAAGATCTCTGGTTGCAAAAATCTAGGCAAGTCCTCATGGTATAAGTTTTGGAGTACAGCCAGAGCAAGCTTGGATGGAGCTCTAAGAACCTGTTCTTGGGGGTGTCAACTGGGCCTTATGGACCAGAATCGGCAGCCATACTGGTTTGCTTTTCCACCTACAGCCTGATTTAAAACTCATAGGGAAACAGCCGTTCCAACTGTTGCAAATTTAAATATGATTTCCCTACGACTTTAAATTCCACCGAATGTTTCTGAAAGAGTGAGACTATGATAAAACTGTGGGTTCACAGTCAAAACCTGGTCCTCCTTCACTACCAGAACCTATTAATGTACAAATTATTCATTTGAACATTGGAAAGACAACAGATGTAAATAAGCTAAGCTTGATAGAACCTGAACAATGGATCTACAGTTAGTATAGATGATACACCCACTACCATTCAGAACATAAGCCCATAACGATGGTGATCTCTTCTGTGGTAAAAGGTAAAGATGCTCAACTGTTTTTGAAGGATAACAACATCTAGAAAGATGTTTAAAGTCAGTCTCATTCTGACCTACAAGACTGTAGGTAAGAGTAAGACTGTAGAATCCCTTCATGAAAGGAAGTAGAAATATAGATACTGACTGCAAGAAGAAGGAGACGAGTGAGACGCTGACGACCAAAAGGTCCAAAAGGTTAAACCAGTTCCTGCAGAAGGAGCCCTGATGGAGGAACGCTCCGTGGACCGTCATCTGAGAGAGACACACAGACAATGTCAGAGTAAGCAGGAGAAGCTCTTAGTGAAGCTCTTCTCTCAGCTGAACTTTACCTTCAGCAGGATCTCCACAGTGAAGATGGAGGTGAAGGCATAGTCAGCATAGCCAAGGATCTACGAACACAGGAAGTTCAATGTGAACAGGAAACACAATGAAGTTTGGGAAATATAAGTAAGAGTTTGATCTGACTCATTGTAGATCCGCAGGACACTAGAAAGGTGAGGAGAGAGCACTTAAGAACTGAACGAGTTTAGATGTTTAGATGCAGTCCACCATATTAGACCCAGATGTCTCTGTTATCTCCCTGCTAGCTCTTTGTTAGCTCTCTGTGAGGTCCCTGCTAACTCTTTGCTGTTTCCAATTCAACCAAACGACACAGAGACGATGCAGTCAGAAAAACTGTCAAAGAAAACCAGTCATGTGCTTGGTGGGGCGTTTTTGAACGTGTACTGGAGGAGGACAACAGCTGCTGTGCGTGACGCCAGTTAATCACTGACCCGGGTCTACCCTGAAACCTTCAGGGTAGACCCGGATCAGTAGACCTGGGTCTACCCTTCAGAAGCCTTCCCAGTTCCAACCAGAGGTGGTTTGGTTGCATCTCGTGACATCACTGTCCTGTCAGCTCTGATTGGCTCTGGCTATTAGTTTGAGGAACATCACACTAACGGGACTCACATTGTTCCTGAAGGAGTGCGCTCTGATTGGATCCTCTGCAGCCAATGAACAGCTGCTGAGGATGATGAAGACCAGGATGAGGTTGGTGAAGATGTGGTGATGGATAAGAGTGTGGCAGCCAACACGGATCCTGCAAACAAGTAGACAGAGACAGAAGGGTTAGATCTTAAAGTGAAACTAGAACCTTAACTCTGGACTCAGGGATCAGCTTCACAGAAGTTTCTGTGGGTTGAGGAACAACCTAGCCCCAGAACTACAGCAACTCTGTAACAATAAATAACTGGTTTGTCTCGGTTGTTTCATTCTGAGTTCTGTCAGGTTAAGCTAAGGGTGGCATTGTTGGGATCTACCTGCGTTGATCAAATAAGACCGGGACTTATATTCTGGGACTACTGGACACCCCAGTAGTTCTGAAATGGGTCTCTAACTCACTATTGGTTAGAAGATGAGGAAAAACTGGGTGCAACACATTGATCTTTCAGACAGATGGACGCACTGCCAAGTTCTTGTAAGGAAAACGTCACCAGAAGCTGTAAAGCTTGCTTTTCATCATGGTTTCTGCTCTTCCAAAGGTTCCCAGTCTTTCTACTGACAGAGGAACCTCTCTGACCACAAAATAATCTACCTGACAAAAGAGTAACCTTCCTGACCACAGAACAACCTTAATGCCCAAAGCAGAAGCATCCTGACCAATGGGGAACCTTCCTGACCACAGAAGTACCTTCCTGACCACAGAAGAACCTGCCTGACCACAGAAGTACCTTCCTGACCACAAAAAAACCCTTCCTGACAAAAGAGGAACATTCATGACCAAAGAAGAACCTTCTTAAACAAAGAGAAACCTTCCTGACCAAAGAGGAACCTTCCTAACTACAGAAGAATCCTCGTGTTTAAAGGGGAAGCTTTATGACCAAAGATGAACCTTCCTGACCTTAGAAGAACCTTCCTGACCAAATAGGAACCTTCTTGACCCTAGGGGAGGCTTCATGACCATATAAGAAACTTCCTGACCAAGGAAGAACCTTCCCGACCACAGAAGAATCTCTCTGACCAAAAAGAAACCATCCTGACCACAGAAGAACCCTTTCTGAACAAAAATGAACCTTTACGACCAAAGAGGAACTTTCCTAACCACAGAAGAACCTTCCTGACCACAGAAGAACCTTCCTGGAAAAAGAGAAACCTTCCTGACCCTAGGGGAGGCTTCATGACCACATACAAACCTACCTGACCAAAGAGGAACTTTCCTGACCACAGAAGAACCTTCCTGACCAAAGAGAAATCTTCCTGACCTCTACCTGGGCACTTTAAAGAGGTGCCCAGAACAACAGCATCTTCTACATTAACTTCTGTGTGAAGATGTCTATTGTTAGAACATCAGCTTTGGTAGGAATGGTGTTGGTGTCAGAGAATGACGAGGTGGTCGCACACTCACGGGTTCGTCTTGCTGAGGCAGAAGAAGGCGCTGCCCTCTGGGATGGGGAGAACCTTCTCTTTAGGAGGTGCAAGATCAGCCATCTTCAGCTGCACCCCTCCATCTGGAAAGACGACAGGAGAAACCTCAGTTACTGGGAGAGAACTCAATCTGTCAGGTCAAGGCGACAGAAGCAGAACAGATTCTGGAATTGGTCTGGGCTTTTTCTCTTCTCATTCCATAAAGTATCAGTGAAAGACTCTCTCATTTGTAGCATTCACCTTTCCTCTAATGACCCACCACTGATATGAAGACTAACAGACCCAGAACCCTTTAAGTTCCTGGAAAGCAAAACATTTGAAAGGTTTTCATTGAGGGTTTTAGTTTATGGTTCTAGAAATTGGCTGAGTGCAAATATCTAGGTTGACCTTGACACTGATTAAAACTCTGAAATGCCAAAAGTCTTTCTTAAGGGGCTTCAACTCCCAGAATTAAATTCTCATGAAACCAGTCAGAATCCAGACTTGGAAAGTCAGATTTTCTCCAACGCTGGATCACAGGCACTGATTTATCTGCTTGATTTGTGGAAGCTGCAGAGATGAGCTATGGATCTTGGTTATTTAGAGATCCTGAGCTCAACTAGTTTGGTGTTTTCTATAGTCAGTGGATCAGTTGAGTAGGACACACTCCTGTAAGAACTAACCATCTTCTCCTTCAGGAAGCTCCTCTTCCTCCTCGTACTCAGTATCTTCATCAATGTCCACCTGGAGAGACAAACAAACCTTAAAAGACGCCGAAGACATTTCAATGATCAAAAGCTTTCCTCCTGGTGAACCTGCTCACCTTAACTTCTCCTTCAGCCTCCGCCTCACCCTCAACCTCACCCTCATCCTTCTTACTGCAGAAGAGCAAAAAGAAAGCCTGGGTTAACCAAACATTCATCCTCCAGGTGTTCCATTTTCTGCTTCAACCCTGCAGGACTCACTCTTTCTTCTTGTCATCTCCATCTCCACCAGCCAGATTGTCCACAGCAATAGCCAGGAAGACATTCAGCAGGATGTCTGACGCACATTAAGGATACATTTTACTTTTCTTGTAGATCAGGGACTTACTGGGACACCTGAGTTAATGTGTGTAAACCAGTCTCTGCTCAAGTCGGAGATACGCTTGCAGACCCGTTGCTGTTTTCCCCCCCGCTCTCTATCAGACTGGAGTCGGATCGTCACCTAGCAACCTTTGCAGCCAATAGAAAGGGTGCGCTTGTTTTCTTCTAGTGAGTTTCCCTGTTACTGCCTACTGATAATAAAATTGATTTTCAAATATTTTCTTCTAACCCAGTTGTGTGCAATGGTCTTCCATATGCAAATCATCATGCAAGTTCTGATTTCTGAACAATTTTAGCCTTGATAAAAGAAGGCTAACTACTCTAGAGCCGACCCATCTACAGGCCTGAGGTCAACACAAAATTATCTCTTTATCCGTCCGTCCGTCCGTCCGTCCGTCCGTCCGTCCG